GGGAGAACATTCCAGGCATGGGGCACAAGCAGGGCAAAGACATGGAGATGGTAAATGGATCATTACGTGTGAGAAACAGCATGCAGGGCAGTGTAGCTGGATCATAGAGTGAATGGAGGGAAGAAAAGTGTAAAAAGACTTTCTTAGGAAAGGTAGGAGGTGGCCAGGTTAGGAAGGGCTTTAAATGCCAAACAGAGGAGCATATATTTGATCCTGGAGGTAACAGGGAGCCCCTGGAGGGATTAGAATGTTCCCAAATTTACTCAAAGTTATGTAATGAGGTGGACGTGTAGGGTTCTATCTATGATATCAGGTACTGAGTCCATTTAGGCTCAGATGGAAACTTCTATGGAGTGGTTATTGGGAAAAGGGAGGAGACCTCCTCAGTTGGTTTTAGGGGTGAAAGCCAGAAACAATGAACACGAATACAAGCCTACTGATACAGGCAGAACTCCCAGCAATACAGGATAAGTGCCAGGAAAATAGCCATGGGTTACTCTCTCAGGATAAGCATCAAAAAAGCTTCAGGGAAGAAGAAGGTGCTGATTGTCCCCCCTCCCCTCCCATGATTCAGCTTGCGAAATGCAAACTCAGATTTTTTTTTTTGGGTAAGGCAATGGGGTTAGATGAGTTGCCCAGGGTCACACGGCTAGTAAGTGTTCTGTGTCTGAGGCCGGATTTGAACTCAGGTCCTCCTGAATCCAGGGCTGGTGCTCTATCCCACCCTTAGGCCTATCTGAGATGGAGCCAGCTGCTCACTCTGGCCTGAGCTCATTTGCTGGTCCAGTAATCTCAGGCTCATTTAAGACAGTCAGAAACCTCTACCCTTCTTACCAGTATGATTGACTAAACATCCACCTCTCCTCCTTCTGCCCAAATGTGAAGGGAATAAAAACAACCAAATAGAATAAAATACTGCCCTAAAAATACACAAAGAAGACCCTCCCCCCTACCATTGGTGGCTTGTTGTTCGGCCATGTCCAACTCTTTGTGCCCCCATTTGGGGTTTTCTTGGCAAAGATACTGGAATGGTTTGCCATTTCCTTCTCCAGCTCATTCTACAGAGGAGGAAACTGAGGCCAACAGGGTTAAATGGCTTGCCCAGAGTCACACAGCTAGTTAGTGCCTGAGGCTAGATTTGAACTCATATCTTCCTCACTCCAGGCCCAGCACTCTATCCGCTATGCCACCTAGCTGCCCATCTATCCTGGATACAATGGAGATAATCAAAAGAGGAAGGGCATTTTTAAGGGGGATGGGGAAAGGCTTCTTGGATAAGGTGGGATTTTAGCTGATGTCTGAAGGAAACCATGGTAGAAGGCAGAGGTGAAGAGAAAATCCCAGGCATCGGGAACAGCAAATGAAAATGTTGGTGAATCAGAGTCGGAGATGAAGCATTTAGTGAAAGGGCAAGGAGGTGGATATCTCTGGATCACAGAGTAAGTCTTGTAGGGAAGGTTGTGTATAAGGAGTACGAAGACTGGAAAAACATGAAGGGGCCAGGTTACAGAGGGCATTAAATGCCAGTACGGTGGTGCAATGGACACCAGCCCAGGAGTCAGGAGGACTGAGTTCAAATCTAGCCTCAGACATTTAGTAGTTGTGTGACCCTGGGTGAGTCACTTAACCCCAACTGCCTCCCAACAACACCAAACAGGATTTTATATTTGGTCTTGGAGGCAATAGGCAGCCACCGGAGTTGACTAAAGTTGGGGGGGGAGGTGGGAATCTGAGTCAGATCTGAGCTTTAGGAAGATCAATTTGATAGCTCAGTGGAGGATAGACTGGAGTGGTGAGAGACTTGTGGCAGGAGAAACAACCATCTGGGCTATTGCAATAGTCCAGGCATGAAGGGATGAGGGCCTGCACCAAGATGGTGGCAGTGTCAGAGAAGGGGTAATGAATGAGAGGAGCTGTGTGAAGGTTGACTGACTCAAGGAGGAAATATGTTAAATGTGTCCAATAGGTGGTGCTACACACAAGCCATCATTCAAATAGTTTCTTCAGATTCTGGGGCACATTTATAATCTTACCACCTTTAGTTTCAAATGGCTTGGTCAGTGACAAATCCGTGCTGGCCAGGTTCTGGATTTTAGCCTAAAGGCTGATGTAAAATATTGTTCACAACTTTACAGTTGCAAATAGGAAAATTTTATGGCTCCAGCTCCCATGTTGCATTTACAGAATTTTCCCTTTTCAAACAGCAATCCTCTCTATAAGGGAGTCTGAACCCTTTTCTATTACAGACCTCTTTGGCAGTCTGGTGAAGCCTGTGGACCCCTTCTTAGAATCATGTTTTTAAAACCATAAAATAAAATGAATAGAATTATAAAGGAAATATTCTATGGAAGTATATTTATGAAAATGTTAAAAAACAAAGCCAAATCATGAGTTCATAGACCCCAGGTTAAGATCCCCTGCTCCATATTTATATCATGCAGCTAATCAACTTTCTGACGCCTCGAAGTTTATTTAACATAGTGAATATTCAAGAGGAAAAAAGCTTCCACGCTCCTGTCATCAGTTAAATCAACAAGCATTTGTCTCAGTTGTTTTCAGTCATGTCCAGCTCTTTGTGACCCCATTTGGGGTTTTCTTGGCAAAGATACTGAAGTGGTTTGCCATTTCCTTCTCCAGCTCATTTTACAGATGAGGAAACTGAGATAAATAGGGTTAAGTGACTTGCCCAGGGACATATAGTAAATGTCTGAGACTAGATTTTAACTCAGGAAGCAGAGTCTTCCTGACTCCAGGTCCAGCACTCTATCCACTGTGCCCCCTAGCTGCCCTAAGCATTTATTAAACACTTACTACATTCCAGACACCCTGTTAAACTCAGGGTATGCAAAGAAAGGCAAAAGACAACCCCTGCTTCCAAGGAGCTCACAGTCAATTGGAAGAGACAACATGCAAACAGTTATGTACAAACAAAATACATAGAGGGTGAAATGGAAATAAGCTCAAAGGGAAGGCGTTTTGTAGAAGGTAGGATTTGAAGTGGGGACTTGAAAGAAGCCAGGAGATGGAGATGAGGAGGAAAAGAATCCCACGTATAGGGGATAGCAAGTGAAAACGCCTGGACCTGGGAGATGGAGTGTCTTGTAGGAGGAATAATAAAGAAGCCAGCATCTTTGGACCACAGAGCAGGTGAGGGGAGTGAAGTATAAGAAGACTGGAAATGCCGAATGGGGCCAGGATGTGAAGGGCTTTGAAAGCCCAACAGAGGATTATGGAGATGAAAAGCAGCCACAGAATTTATTGGTTGGTCAGATGATTCCAGAACGTTCTTTCAAATGGGCACGCTATAGAAAGCGGAGCAGTGGTGTTCTGGGTCCATCTCTGGAAGCACAGGAGAAAGCCAGGCAAGTCCTGAGAGATGGATCAGTCTCCCGGTCTCATCAGTTGAAGAGACTTTTGGAAGTTGGTGCCCAGTGGGCTGTATTCCTCTGCTTGAGAAGCTTCATTCAGCTGGTCTAGAATCAGTCTTCCCTCCATTCATCCCAATTCAGACTGCTGGGGTCACTGCCTGGCAATCTCCCACTCCTCAAAAGTCTAAGTCTTAAAAGGCTAAAAGCTAAAACTAAAGAGGAGGAAGGCAGACCTGCATATGCCTCAGGGCAGATAAGTAGAGCAACACAGAATGAGCCACAGTTACAGAGGTTAAGGATTATTGTAATTTCCAAAGGGGTTTACCCAGGTTAAGCCCAGACCTTAATGTTTGTCCTAATAAAACAGGAATTGAGGGGATGAGAAAAAGAGGACTGGAGAAGAAATGCTGGTGTTGGGAGTTAGCAGCAAGTGCCAGACACAGGGCAGAAGGGCTTGGTATCAATTTAATTCCATTAGATTCAAGATTGATTAAGCACTTGTTATGGGCAGAGCTCTGTAGACCAAAGGTACAAAGGCCAAAGATGAAAAGATAAAAATAAAACAGTCCAAGTCAATAAGGAGGTTATAACCTAAGGGGGTGGGAGGCTGAAATTAAGGGCATAATCTCATTAAAAGAGATCAAGATATAAACTAGTAGGACCCAAGATAGACTGTGATGAGGAGCAATTCATAGTATCATAGTAGAATATGGAGAGAGACAAAGACAGAGACACAGAGAGGTGGACAGCACTGAGAGGTGGGGGTGAAGAGGAAATCAGTAAGGTTGGATCCAAACCAGGAAGAGTTTATTAAGTGCCTACTGTGTTTAAGATAGTATGCTAAGTGCTGGGGGTCATAACATTAGATAAGTCCCTGCCCTCTGGGAGTTTACAGTTTTTATGGGGATGTCATAGGCACTAATAACTACACAAAATAATGCATAGTAAGCACGTGAGATGGGTGTATGTGGAATTCGACCTGGGTAGGGTTGAGTAAGATATCAGAAGTTGAGGCTGGAGGAAAGATTGGCATGGAGAAGGGCCACCGCGTGCCCTTCCCATTTTACGGAAGGGAAAGCCAAGATGGGGGGGGGAGTGGCCAGGCAAAGTTGCTGGAGGGAGTGGTGGCTCTGGCTATCAGGGCACCTGCAATAAAGAGAACAGGGGAATTGGGGACAGCCTGGGAACCGGTCCGCTAACCAGTTTAACCAGGGACTGGTTTCGACTTTGTGAGTTCAAAGGCAGCAAGAGTACACCGCATGCAAAGGGAAGCAACAGACTTAACCCCTTCACAGCCTTGCTCTGGCCAGGCTTGGGTTGCCTGGTGGGGTGGGTGGAGAGTTCGGTTGAGCCAACTTGGTCCAGCCCCTTTTGTGTAGGGGGTGGGGTGGGGGTGGGGGTTAATAGGAGAGAGGTGATGTTAGGTCTTGGGGGGAATGCAGTTATGCTGTGGTGAAGCCAGGCACACCAAGGGTAGGGGCGGGGAGGCGGGGTTGAGACCTTTCTCCTGTTACTAGGAACCCCCTTTGGGATCCCTTCCTTCCCATTATGGATCACCAGCTCATCCCCATTTGCCCCTGGTTCCAGTGGGTGCAAGTAGCACAGGGATTGGGTTTCCTGTGTTATGAATATTCAGTGGTTTGCACCCAGCCTCGACTCCTGTTTACTTAGCCGGGAGGAGCTGAGTTTCAGTTCACCTTGGCTCAGAAGAAGCAGCTGGAGCAGGTACCTGGCTTTCGCACCTGTTTCTCCTGCACCTGACATGCAGCTGCTGCTCCTGTGGTCACTCCTGCTCCAGCCCACCTCTCCACTCAGCTCTCCTGCATTCTGGGTTCCAATCCTTGCCTGACAGCCTCAGACACACTGCTGCCTCCCCGTTCTCACTCTCCTGCCCTCATCCCCTCCCTGGGAAAGGTCTCCACCAGAGAACTCTGGATTAACAGGTACAGGTAGAAGACAGGTTGGTGGGCGGATCAGGGGAAACCAGGGACGTAACCCTTTCCCAGCCCAGAGTGCCCACTTTGGTTCCAAAAGGGACTCGGGCATCTCAGTTCTCCGTGGGCAGGTGGGCAGACACAGGGCTCAGTCTACTGGGTTCTTGGAGTTGTTCCAGGTCTCTGGCAGAGTTTTTTTCCCCTGGGAGTTTCATAGGAAGTGTTTCTCTTTTAACTCTTACTTTGCTTGGGTCTGTCAGACACGAGTGGATGAGATCACCATTCCCCTCTGTAGGACACCTCTGTTCATACTACCCATGGCAGGAAAGTGCAATCGGGCTGTTGCAGATTGGTGGTGCAGGAAGAATGCATGGGGCTCTTCTAACCCTGAAAAGTTATACATCCTGTCCCCAGCCCCACCCTTCACCTTCACTCTGAGGGCCCATTTTAGTCAATGGTTAACTTATTACTTATGGCCAGTAATATGTAAGAAGAGCTGGTGCCTAGGCTTGAGGGTGGGTGGACGGTATAAAGATTCGAGCAACTCAACTGGGTGGGGCAGAGCCTGGATTGAATCTGCCGGAGCATCTTGGTGGGCTGTGGGTCCTTTCCTGAAGTAATTTCTTCCATGAAGGCTTGTTTGGGTATGTGTTTTATGTGGCATTCTTGGCATGCTGTGGTAAGTGCTACCAGAAGAGGGTGGTGAGGACAGGGGCTCCTGCCTTCCCTAGCTCTTTATCTCTGGATAGGTTCCCTCATAGGTTATATTTCCCTGTAGGCTATGTCAGAGCCCCTGGGGCTTTGCAAATAGTGGTCTTAATGGGGATAATTTTTATCTCTGAGGTGGATTCCAGGGCCCTAGGGCAGGGGTCAAGTCTTTTGCTTTGCTCTGCACATTTCAGAAAAGGCCCCTCTGTGTTGCATAACATCTTAGACCCACAAACACAGGGCATTTGGGTCTTAGAGACACATAATACCTTCAATCCTCTGTATTATGCAGGTGCGTTAGATGTGAGCATATACGAAGGTGCAGTCTATAAAGTTGTCAGATTTTTGTAAACTGAATCCCAATCTAACTGCCCTTATGCAGCTTACTGCAATGCTGTAAGGAAATATGCTTTTATCATTGAGTCCTCCCTCCATGAAAAGCATATTGCAAAGCCCCTCTGCTTTAAAAGAGGATTTGCTTCAGTTATTGTGGTCAATAAGTTGATCATTCTACATTCATGGCTGCAGATGGACTTAGCTAGATTGGTCCTCAAATGATGGTCATACAATTTGCCAGAGCTTATGAACTTGCATAGCCTTCAAGAACCTGGGGTCACCTTCATGGCAGAAGGAGGCCTCAAAGGGCATTGGTGGAATCCCATCTACTGCACTAATGCCTACTGTTTAAAGGAATCTTGTGAATTGCTCTTATAATGTAAAGCATAGGGTTACCCCCTAAATCAGGCCTGCACAACCTGCAGGGAGTCAAAGGATTTCCTCTACATACAAATGATGTTTTCCTCTACATTTTTTGTAGGCAGCCTGAAATCCTATGGTGTCAGGTTGTGCAGGCCTACCCTAAATTTATCAATTTTGTAAATGTAGATTTTCTCACTTCAGGCTTGCTAAACCAAGACTCACTTGTATTATGGTGCTCAGATGTCACCCCCAAGACAGATGGGGCTGGGCGTAAGGGGGCATCTCCAGGAGGCATGCCAAGAAGTGATACCATAGGACAGTGGGCACTTAACTCATGGTGCCATCTTGATGAGCCCCAGGAAAACATCTGAGATGAGAGAATTTTCTTTCTTTCCTTCTTCCTTGCCAGGGATGAGACCGCATAAATATGAGCTATGCACTGATTACAAAGTATCAGCCAGGTGGTTATATTTTCACAGCAGCAGGAAGATGCTGCTGTCTCCAAGAGGAATGGGTGTAGGGACTGTTGAGTGAAAAAAGTCAATGCAGTGAGCTAGATCCTCCCTCTGTCGTCTGGGTTCTGTTTGACAATACTGGGACACTAGAATTTGTCCCTGGTCCCACAATGGCTGGGGAAGAAAAGGTATACAGGGGCAGCTAGGTGGCGCAGTGGATAGAGCTCCAGCCTTGGAGTCAGGAGCTTAACTAGCTGTGTGACCCTGAGCAGGTCACTTAACCCCATTGCCTAACAACAACAACAAAAGGAACAAAAGAAAAGGTATATGGTATATTGCCCTTCCTGCCTCTCAGGCCGCTTCTAGGAGTTGTTCTGCAACACCTAGTCCTGGTCAAGGCTGCACTATGCCCAGATTTTGGGGCAGTTTGCCAAAGTAAACCTCTCAGACTGTCCCCTTGGTCTCACCCTCCATCCTAGGTGGGCACTTACCTTTGAAAACATTAATTTGGCCACTCCCAAGGATAGGCTCTCTTTATTTCCTTCCCCCTTCCTCACTGCCCCCAAGCTGTCTGAGACTCAGATTACCTCCTGGTACCTGGGGTTGACTATAGTCTACAAATGGAGAGGGGAGGAGGCAGAATGGGGAACACTCACCCTGGACAAACAGGCCAAAGGGAACTATCGGTTGTGGGGAAGAGTGTGGGCATCATGGCTGGCTAGAGGGCTTCAGCACGGGCACACAGACAAGGGTCAGCTGATTCCCTAGCCCATACTTGGGTCTCCGGGTCTCAAGGGGAGAGGACCCATTAGCTTTCTTCACTCTGGCAGGCATCTTTCTGGTCTAACCATATGGCTTTCCTCCCAGTCGTTCCTCAGCTTTTCCCTGGTGTTTTCTGTATCAGACTCCCAATTTCTCCCTTTGGATCTTAGGGTTTCATGCTATGCTACATCTCTTACCTTTTTGCCTGTTCCCAGCTTGGCTGTTTCTCAATTTATTTTGTCTCCTTTTTCCTTTTCCCATCTCATCTTTCTCTGCCCCTCACCCCTCATCATCTCTGTTCAGGATAGCCTTATCCTAGCCAACACATCCTTTAAAGATGCCAAATTTGACAATCCTTTTCAAAGCCCTTTTGGAAAATCTAATAATCATCATTACCCATACTTACTTTTCATAGCTCTTTCAAATATAACAAATTTCTAGGGCACTGTGGCTCATCGAGGTTAACACAAGGTCACACAGCTAGAAGCCAGATCTCTTCTGATCACAAGCCTAGCATTCTCTCCCTTACATCCTCTTGGCCTTATCTAATTGTATCTTGTGAAAAAGGCTGGGCAAATAGGCTTTAAAAATAAACAAAAACCAAACCAAAACAAAAAAACAAAAAACCCTCTTTGACTATGTTTAAACCCCACCCCCAATAGTTTATCTAATGCTTTATTAAAATTAAATTGAAAACAATTCTGTTATTAATGCTGAAATTTCCACCAACAGGACTTGACTCCATTATAGTAGTCTGTAAAGCCTCAAATGATTCTCCTTCATTCAGCCTTCAGTCTAGCACCAACACTGCAATGTATTGGGGAAGATTTTAGAGAGAAATATTTTTATATCTTCCCCAGTGCCTACCATGGGGCATTTCAAGGGAAGAGAGAGAACGCACCCAAGAAATGTCTCCTGAAGGACTTAAGAGAATAGGACTTAAGCCAGCTCTAGTTGGCTTGGGCAATAGGGTTCATTTAGTTTGAGGCCCTTGTTTGACAGAAGAAGAAGCTGAGGCAAGGTCACTTAGAGTCAGGTGTGGGGTGGGGCTAAAGCCAGGGTCACCTGACTTCTGGCCTAGGGGTCAGACATCTTGGCCATGGGATCAGACACTGCCTTCCCTAGCTGAGGAGGTCACCACTGAAAGGCCTAAAGCTTAGACTTAGAGGAAAAGAAGGGAGAGAGAAGAGAAAGAGGTGTCATTGGGCAGGGAATGGTTGGAGGCCACCACTAATCCTCTTAGAAGGCATTTTTACAACACTTCTGCTAAAGGTTTCTTGCTTCTTTATTGCTCTAGGCGTCTTGGTTGCATAGCAGCAGAAGAGCTGTGTTGCTTATACAGGAATTAAAGTAAAACAAATTTATACAAAAAACAAGCCATGATACAAGCTGTAGCATCTATCTGTCTGGTGTCAGACTCTCTGAGCCCTGCTGGTACTGAGCCTCGATCACTGTGTGCCCGTCTCCAGCAGTTTATTACATTCAGAGCTTCTTAAAACTTTTTCTCCTAACTATCCCTTCAGCACTGTGGGTCTCGACCCCATATGGGGGTCTAATCCGCTAATAATGATTAGATAATGTGTTGGAAAGTCTTGAAAAGGAGACTGACACTCTAGATCAGGGGTGGGGAATCTGTGGCCTCAAGGCCACATGTGGCCCTCTAGGTCCTCAAGTGCGGCCCTTTGACTAAATCCAAACTTCACAGAACAAACCCCCTTAATAAAAGGATTTATTCTATAAAACTTGAACTCAGTCAAAAGGCCGCACCCAAGGACCTAGAAGGCCATATGTGGCTGTGAGGCCACAGGTTCCCCACCACTGCTCTAGACCCAACCCTGTCATTGACTGTCTATGTGATGTTAGGTCACTTTCTCAGAGAGAGAGTTGGACTCCATCAGAGATTCTTTTTTTTTTTTTTGCTTTTAGGCAATTGGGGTTAAGTGACTTGCCCAGGGTCACACAGCTAGTACGTGTCAAGTGTTTTGGTCTGAGGCTGGATTTGAACTCCGGTCCTCCTGACTTCAGGGCCGGTGCTCTATCCACTGCGCCACCTAGCTACCCCTACCATCAGAGATTCTTAACCTGGGGATCGTGAACTTATTTATAAGTATGTTGATAATATTTCAATATAATTGGTTTCCTTTGTAATCCTACGTATTTTGCTTTTGTGCATTTAAAAACAGTATCCATAGGTTTCACCAGACTGTGTCCTGGGAGCCTTTGTTACAAAAAAGGGATGAGAGTTCCAAAACTAGATAATTGCAACTTCCTTTCCAACTCTTATGTGAGTTGATTCTCTTTGTATGTCTTACTTCCAACTACTTTTCTACTTGCTTCCTTGTCTATACCTTCCTGTTTGCTTTGGCCAATTCTTTCAGCTGGCCAACATGTCACATCCTCAAATCACTGTGCTCACTGAAATCACCATGGCAATGGCTTTGTCCATTTGAAAAGCTTTCTGGAAATGTTTAGCATTTTCACTCAAACGCTTACTTCTCTGTATCCCAATTACACCCAGGTTGGCACGTTTTTTAGGCCCATGCTAAAATAGACTGAGATTCTGAGAATAGGCAGTTAGGCAAGGGGGAAGAGAGAGGAGACTTGGGATTCTGCTGCTCAATCTTGTCTCTTGACTGATGTTCGTATCTTTCCCTTACACTGGTGCCAGGAGGTCTCCTCTGAACATTCTGCACCAGGGAATCATGGCAGATGTTGTCTGGTGGAAGCTGACCTTTTTGCGCAAAAAGAAGTCAACTCCCAAGGTGCTGTATGAGAGCCCGGACACTTATGCCCACCTAGACGGAGGTACTGAGCCCACTCGGCCCGAGGGAGTGAGTCCCAACAGCAACTTTAATGCCCGGCTAGAGAAAATTGTGGACAAGAACACCAAAGGCAAACATGTCAACGTCTCCAATTCTGGCCGATTTAAGGAGAAGAAAAAGGTTCGAGCCACGCTAGTGGAAAATCCCAAACTTTTTGATGATGGAGATGGGAAAGGACAGTGAAGGGTGAGAAGGGGGATGCTAAGTACCTCCTCCTTTCCTACCATCAGCTGGATTCTGAAAAGGAAAACTGATACTCCAACCTCTCTGTACTGTCCTCCACACCTGTGGGCAAGGAAATGTCTCTATTATTTATAGATGCATGACTCTCTACTTGGGAAGGCTGGCCTTGGAGGTCTGGGCTTGTCTCCACTCCCACATGGAGGGTCCTCCTTAGTTCAAGGGTCGTATCTCTGGAAAGAGAAAGAATAATAACCCAGGAAGGGTCAATCCTCATTAAAACCCTAGGCAGTGCCTACTGGGAGGGAGGGAGGGATGAATGGATGGATGGGTGAAGGTGGGGTGCTATTCCTGTTCCCCAGGAACAAGGATCAGGATCAGGTTTGAATTGCTGCTCTTTCCTCCACGTTCACCCTAGCCTTTTCCCTGTGGGAACTTTTTCTAGAAGCTGCATGGAACAAGGATGGCATAGTCTTTTCCCCAAGAGTCAGGGGAGTAGGGAGACTCAATCCCTTATCTCACCTCCTTTTGCACTTCCTGGAACTTTGCTTAAAACATGTGGCCAGAGGAGGTTCCCTCCAACTTCCTGTAAGACTCCAAAGGGATAGACTGGCTGACATCGGATATCAGTTTCTGCTAGGGACACTCCCTTCTAGGTGTGTCAAGATAGACAGTGACAGTGGGGGAGCTACATGGCTCTAAGGATTCCTGCTCAGGGGAACCAAGATGGCCCACCTATCTACTCTCCCTGTCAGAACATGTAGTTAAGAGAAATGCCCCGGATGACATCCTGGGTCTTGAATTTTTAAGTTTGGTCATAAATTTCTTTTTGGTAATAAACATGAGTTGAAACTGGAGGGTCCTCATGATGGCAGTTACTACTATCACTAGAGGTTGGGCAGATTATCGTCTCTTCTATATGCCTGGACTGGGGTTTGGGGGCACTATCAGCTTTGGATGAAAAAGAGAGCGAAAACTGAGATGGAAGAACAAAGAAAGCTACCACAATCTGCACCACATTTTACCATATGTGGTGCTCTGGCTCTGACAGTGGCAGTGGCCTTAAGACCTACACTGTCCTTACCAGTCAAGAACATCTGCTGTTCCAGCATTTCTCACTTACCCCTCATGATCTTTTACTAAAGCGCTTTTTTAAAAAAAAAAGCTCTATGACCCATGGCCTGGGTCATCTGTGTGTATATGTATAGGATTGCTGGAGGTTTTTTCTCAGCTTTGTAAAGTGATAGCTCCTCTCATTTGCTCTAAAACTACCTCCTAGCTAGCATCAGGCTGTGAGGGGCCTAGTTCTAACGTCCTCCAATTTGGTGACCAAGGTCATCCCCTTTTATAACAAATATACCTGGGTCTGGAAAAGGAAGGCTAGATCTTGGGAGATGAGGTTCCCTTGAATAATAAATTCCACTTCTCACTTCCAATATCTCCAGGGGCAACTTCTCATCACTTTTTAACAAAGAAACATATTCAAAGACACTGCCCAGTGACATGTTCCAATCTCTCCCAACCAGGTCCTCAGGCCCAGGCTTCACCCATGTAAATGGAAAGGAGCCAAGGATAAGAAAGAATGAGCCATATCTCTGGAGCTTGAAAGGAAGGAACAGCAGGGAGGGTGACCAAACAATGACACCCTGCAGCTTCCACTCAAACCTCACTGCCTACAGGGCCACCCTACCCTGGGGAATAGCTGCTCAGAAGTCGTTTCCAGGGAATTTATTATCAAAACAAACTGGGATCTATGGTACAAGGAGACCTTTGTCATGGTGCCTCACCCTGGCCAGTGGGGAACTTGGGGGTGATGGGAGGCAGAGGGAGGGGTTAGGCACGGTAGCTTTAACATCCCCTTTTTTTTTATACCTTGGGGTTCTATAGCAACTCAAGCATGGGGCTTCCCTTGGAGGACTGCCAAACATTTCATTTGAATTCACATCTGAAAGCACTCATCCCATTGGCTTTACTATAAAAGGGGAAACCCCCCCATTTTTCTAGGGGGAAAATTTAAGAAGGAGAAGAAACTCATAAACTTAAATCATTTACCCAGGGGTGAGTGTTGGTAGCTTTTTTTGGGGGGAGGAGTGGAATTCTTGCACATGAGTTATCTCCTTCTGACTGAATGGGTCCTGTATGGGAACAGGTGACAGAAGCTCCATTTTTGGTTTCTTCTGGGGTGCTGGAAAAAAGCCAGGTTAGAAAGCAGAGGAGATGACTCCCGACAAGAGAAACCAGATCTACCCTTTACTGGTTCCCCAACCTGGAGCCCAGCAGCTGATTGTGACAGGGAAGGTAGAGATCCTGGGGTCAATCTAGCCCCACTACTAGCTTGAGCTCCTACTGAAATCTACAGCCCTCTACCTGTCCTACCATTCCTGCTCCCACAGAGAGTCACTGGGCCCCAGGAAGAATGGCACCATTTCTGGTGGAAGGTAACTGTGGCTATTCTGCCAGCCTGTCCTCTGTCAGGTGCCAGTTACACTGAGCCCTTCCTTGGGGACAGGGTGACAATCTGGATGGCCAAATCAGGCACAAGATTGGGGAGAAGGAGATGAAGAAGCAAGAGGAAGGAGGGGAGGAGGAGGAGGAACTGAGAGTGCAAATATGCACTGGAACTGGGAGAGGCCAGGGGTTATCTGGGCAGCAGTTTCACTGGGACAGGACCCAACCCTACTGGAGGGGAACCAGACAGAACTGGAATCCACCTGATATAGACCAATGCTGGGCAGCTGGCTCCCCCTGCTGGACAGGGAAGGAGGTTCCCTTAGCCTTGACCCTCCTCAACTCGACCAGGAAGGAGAAAAGAGGTGGGAGGACAATGACTCCCTGTATCCCCACCCACTACCACAGGGGCAGAGAGCAGGCCAGCCAGAACAAGGTGAACATTAAACACTGAAGATTTTATTAGAGGATTGGTACAAGAAGTAACAGGATACAAGAAGGGTACAGAGCGGTACCCAGGGACCTGGCCAGGGTGAGAAGGGATCAAACAGGCCCTGACAACCAGACCATATTGCACAGCTAGATAGATATACACTCACACACACCCAGCCCAGCTGGTAAACTACTCAACAAGACATAGTTCAAGCCCTAAAAGGAAGAGCAAGGGCAAGAGGACAGAGCAATCTCCTTCTCAGAGATTAGGCAACTATGCTCTGCCACCAGCCCCAACAATGAACTCGGAGCCCCTGCCCCCAGCACGCACACAGCCACCCAGGGTAGATGGAAACTCTGGGCTTTTGAGCAGGGGAGGGTCGAACTATGGCCTGAGGATCCAATCTGACCCCAAGGACCTGGAAGCTAGGAATATTTTTTACATTTTCTAAATACAATATGACTTTAAACTATTCTTAGCTCCTGGGGCCCTAATCATACCAGGCTCGAGTGGGTGTGGGCTGAAGTTTGCTGACTCCGGCTCCAGAAACTTGTAATCTAGGTGGGGAGACAGACCAAGGCAGGCTCGGCCATCAAGGAACACATACACATATTTACAAAGTAGTCAGGGCAACAACAATAGTTCAAGGGGCAATCAACTTTCTCTCACACAAGGCTGAGTCACAGTGAATGTTTAATCCCAAGCTGGATTCTTCCCAGCCCATTAGACCCACTCCCACCAGGATCTGGCCCGACAACCCAAACTGATTTCATCATTGTGCAATTCTTTAATTACTATTGGTTCAAGTCAGGCTTAGAAGGGGAAAAAATAGGTCTCCAGAGCACATCTAGTTGACTGTTTACTCCATTTTGGAATTCCCACTAAAAGATTCTTACAGAAGATCATTCACCTCCTTCTGACCTCTATCCACTGGCTCTAGGTCTGTCTTTTAGGGATACATTGAATACGTGTAATTTCCCTTCGTTGTGAGTGACAATCATTCAAATATCTGAAGTCAGTTACTGGGACGTACTTGTTCCCAAAAAATCTACACGAGTATATCTCATAGTTCTGAAAACACTCAAATTCAAATGGAAATGATTTTTGGATTATCCAATTTTGGGTTTTGGGGTGCTCTTTTCGTTACCCGTACACAAAACAGGGATAAATGAGAGTTGACTTAGTGCAAAGGGCTTAGGTGACAAAGTTGGCAAGGCCCTCAATGTAGGGTTGACTGGGCTAGGTTTAAAGCCTGATGGGAACTCCCCTACATTTCTCACCACTCTGTTCCAGGTTCCAGAGTGAGCTGAGAGGGTCCAATCACCAGCAGTCAGACAGTCATGGTGAGAGTCTCTCATACAGCCAGTCATTTGCCCCAGGGTGAGTCATAGGCCCTGATGCAGGCTCTCCAGGCTGCAGCCTCCGGAAGACAATCCGGTCATGCAGACGGTTGGTTTGACCCTGCCAGAACTCTACCACTTGTGGGTACAGGATATAGCCACCCCTAAAGGAGAGGGAGAGGTTTCATCGTTGTGGGGCTGCTTTCTACACACTTTGTTCAAAGCCACTGTCAGAAGTGGCTCGGTTGAGCATCTCAGGCCCGAGATACTGTTGGAAGGCCAGGTTTAAATCCTAGCTTTGCAACTTAACTGTGTGACTTTGGGCAAATCACCTCACCTCTTTGGGGTTACACTAGACAGTCTCTAAGGTTTTTTCCATCTCTGATCCAATGGAAGCTGTGCACTCACCAATATTTAGGCTTGGGCACATTTTGCTCTTGGTACAGCCCTTGTAACTCCTCATTCTTCTTCCTCAGGTACTGTTCAGGAGGAGGGGAAATGTAATGAGTACCAGGATCGCTAGGCAAAATCTCAGCCCAGGCATCTAAGAGAGGTGGGCCCTCTGCCTGATTAAGTATGCATGAGTAAATCTGGAAGAGGACAGGTACCCCTTCTCTCCTCCTTCTCTTTCCCCGGGTCACTCACCTCCCGATCTGGAATAACAGAGCTCTGGCGACTGACAACTGCACCGATTTGGCTGCTTTTAGGGCGGGAGTGGAAATACAGTTCAGCCTCCTCCTCTGGCAGCCTCTGCACTCGTCCTTCGACACGCACCTGCTCAGACAGCCACAGGTGGAGGGGAATGGAGCCTTTCAGACCAACTCTTCTAGCAGATGACCCAGTCCTCTTCATTTTCCTCATCTACCTCCAAAACACAACCTAGTCTGACCCAGGAGCTGGCTCCTCTGTCTTTCTATATTGGTGGACTGACACTAAAGACAAGGAGAGGTTTCCTGGGAAGGCTCTATCCAGGGTACCCACATTTTTACCATCTTTGCTCACAACTCCCTTGGTCCATCTCTGACCCTGTCCCAAACACTGCTCACCTGTCTATTGAGGGGCGCCCAGTAGAAGACGAGGGAGGCAAAAGGGTTAGAATCCTGAGGATAAGAAAACAGAAAAAGGCATGAGGACAGGTGAAAAATGGAGCCTCCTCCCAACGAGGGGGAATCCAACTTAGCTTCATGGGGCAGGAGGGAAGAAGAGAGATGACAATGATGCTTTCTGGGAAGAGCAGCTATCTGTGATATCTCACATTGCTCATTTGCTGACCACAAGGGCTCAGCAGAGTAGCCTCTTTCTACTCTGGCCTGGGAATCCAGACTTCTATGCCTGAAGAGTGAAGAAACTAATTGAGAGACTGTAAGAGGGTAAAAGGGGAGGAAGAACATACCAGAGTTTAGGATCTGGTCTTCTTTCTTCATTTTTATGGAAGGGCACAAGAAGGGAGATGTGAAATGGCTGTCATGTTGGCATGGATAGAGAGAGAGCTTTTGGCTTTTTTCTTTATAGAAACCCTCACCAGCTCTTTTCCTTTTCGGCTTTCAAAGTTAGTGAAGAAACGGAAGCCATCCTGGTCAAAGCCCTTTAGCAGCAACATTCGGGCAGAAGGCTTTCCATCCCTAGGAGACACAGGAATAGGAACAGGGGTCAGTACCCAATCCTGATGCCCTTATTTACCTCCTATAAAGGAAACATGAGGCTGAGAGGCTAAGTGACTTGTCCAGGGTCATAAAGGTAGTATCAAGATTTGAATTCAGGTCTTCCTTACTCCAACTCCAGTGCTCTAATCACTACGCCAAGTAAATTAGCCAAATGAAGCAATACATTCACTGTGAAGGAAATAGACCTAAGGCAGGTGGCTATGTAGTCAGATCTTGGTTTCCCCATCTATAAAAACTGGGTGTGAATAGAAATAGTAACTCATTGTGGTGACAAAGAACTGGAAATTGGGGGCAAGCCTGTCAATTGGGGAATGGCTGAACAAGCTGTGGTATGATTGTGATGAAACACGACTGTGCTGTAAGAAATGATGAGCTCCATCATCTTAGAAAAACACAGACTTGCATGAAATAATGAAGAGCGAAATGAGCAGAACCAAGAGGATGTTGTATACAGTAACAGCAATATTGTTTTAAGAACAACTTTGAACGACTAAGTCATTTGGACTTACAAATACCTTATGACTTATACATATTATAAATACCCAAATTAACTACAAAGGACATAGGAAGATGCTGTCTGCATCCTGAGAAAGAACTGATGAATAGAAGTATGTATAGAATGATTTTACATACACACACACACACACATATGTATGTCTAATGGTAGCCATTTCTAGAGTGGGCAGAGGGGAGGAAAAAGGAGGAAAAAAAGAAATTTACATAACTTTATTATATGTTTAAAAAGCATAGCAAGTTGTACACAACAGATATGCAGTTTCGTGTGCAATCATCTTTTTTTATTACACAAAAAATACATTAAAAAAAGCGAGTGTGAGGGTGGAAGGGCAGTGCCAACCCCTGTGCAGGTGACCAGGCCTCACTTTCCCCATCTGTAAAAAGCAGGGGAAGGGGGCGGTGCTAACCTGGTGCAGGTGGCCAGGCACATGGCATTGGCTTCATACACCTCCGGGCACCGGGAGGCTTCTTCGAACCAAGCAGAGAACTGCTGGATGGGGTCCAGCGAGGTCAGGTGCGCCTCCTCGAAGGCCTGGGCGAAGGTGAAGGGCACAGCCGGGGCCTGTCCCCGCACTCCCGGGCTCCCCCGGCCGCCCCCCTCCCGCCTTCCCTCCGGCTCCCCCTCCACCCCCGCAGGAGTCCCGGACACCCCTTCCCCCTGACGCCTCAGAGCCGGCACCTCGTGGTCCTTGAGGTAACTCTTCCTCATGTGTCCCAGGTCCATGACAGCTCGGAAGCACACTTGCCGCCCAAGGAGATCCGTCTGCGCCGCTCGCAGCCAGCTCCACGTCACGACGCCCAGCAGCACGCTGCCTGCCCCCACCCGTCGGGTAGTCATAGCGACCGCGAGGCCACGTGGTTCGCCTCTTCGCACGCACGCGAGAGTGGCTCGCCCCGCGTTCCCTCTATTTACTTATCCCCGTTCCTCTTCTTCCCCCCTCCCACCCCTCCCATCCCAGCACCTGCTCTGAATCAGCTTCCGAACCTTCGCTGCCTCCCAAGCTGGAAGGCCCTGCTACTCGGTCTAACCTCCCGCCCGGCCCCGCCCTCTCCACTGTGGAACCCAATGGGAGCCCAGGGTCGGGGGAGCGGGGGACAACACGGAAAGGTCATTGGCTTGAGTCTTCCGGGAACGGGACCAATCGGAACGGGAACAATAGAGCTTCAGCACCAATGGAGAGCGCCGACGGGGGCGGGAACAAAGAGACCAGGAAATGTAGTCACTGCCGTCAATACGCACATGGAGGTGTTGTTAAAGGTACAGGGGCTGCCAGACTCTGGGCTGGGGAGGGGAGGGGGGAGCGGATCGGAGATTTGGGGGGACACGGCTTGGTGGGGGGGATGCGGCAGTTTTCAGGACAGCTGGGATGATTAGGCGTCCCATGGAAGGGGAGGGGAAGAGGGAGCCGCAGAGCGCAGCTCAGCGGTCTGGGAAGGGGAGAACTGGGACAGGGGCAGGATAATGGGGTGAGCCGGGCGGGGGGAAGGGAGGGCCGGCGCCGGGAGGGCGCCGGGGATGAAGTTAGTTGTAGGACCGAGGATTGAGCCGGGGTTCGAGGAGGAGTCGGTGTGGGCTGCGGGGAGACTCCGGGGACGGGGGCATCCGTAAGCCAGGTAGGTGCTCGAGTTTGCCCCTCACTGACTCTGAGATCGCTCTCCTCAGAATGGGTTCTGTGCCGTGGTGCAGCAGACTCTCCTGCCTTGACCTCCCCACCTGGGCTGAGTCTCCTCGCTTCTCTCCTTCCCAGGTGCCTCGGGGGCTGGTCCCCCGGTCAGTGCCAGCAGATGGCTGAGGGGGCCGGGGAGAGGGTGGCACTGCAAGGCCACTTCCAGACAGTGGACCCAGGACTGGCTGATGGAGAGCCAGCTGATGCCCATCCCACCTTTGACCTGGCTGAAGCAGCCCTGGGTGGGGGCCCTCTGTGTAGTCCCAGTTTTCAGCAACATCAGGAACTGGAGCTGCAAGAGCCGCCAAGACAGGTGCCCCTGGAGTGTGCCAGGTAAGGGACCCCTTGCTGCTTCTTTGAGGCAGTGAATAGTCATAACATCAGCGTCATCTTATGCAGGTTCCTCTCAGCCATCATTGTGTGCTCGATATATTCACATCAAAGCCTCAGAGGGCCACAGAGCTGGAAGAGACCTTAGAAGCAATATAGTCTTACCCCTTCATTTTGCAGATGAGGAAACTGAGGCCCAGGGAGTTGTCCAAGGTCACATAGGCAATGTCAACACTGGGATATAAACCTGGGTTCTCTGACTTCAGTCAGTGCTCATTCCACTGGAAATAATGAATGGATTATATGCTATTTGGGATTCTCTGTGAAACAGCTCCCTGCCAGTGTGGTAAGGTGAGAGTTTACTGTACCAACTTTCTTGCTGTGTATATTTCCCCACCTGTAAAATCCACTGGCACTGATATAAGCAATATGTTGATGTCACACCTCAAGGTGACACACTTTTATATTCTTGTGGCCACATTGATCAGCCCCCCTTGGGCTGAGGTACATTCTGGGGTGAGAGGATCTTGAGAACTGAGGATTGTCTAGGAGAGAGAAAAATGTAACTGTTTGCTTAGAGGCCCAGAGCTCAGTGGGAAGATTAGTCGAGAGAGTTGAAGGGATAAGGACTGTTGTAAAATACAATACACAAAAGATGGTTATCAGAGAATGGGAAAAGAACTAGATTGCAGCCTTGAGTACTGAGAAGGTCTGGAGGATGTGTGGAGGTAGAATTGAGTCCAAAACCTTGGCAAACCATTTACATTCATTCCAAGGTCAATGGCATCAGTATAGTGGCAGGGCAAACTCTTATTTGGTATGCCTGGGCCCTGGTGATGGATGGAAGTTCTGAAGACTCAGGAATATGATTCTAGGTCTTGGCTTAGATGGGATTCAGGAAAGGCTAACACTAGTTGAGTGCCCTGTCCTTGGTGTTGGGATCCTTTATTCCTTCTCTCTTACTTTCATCTCCTTGTACACTGGTGACGTTATACCAAATGTAGCTCTTGGGTGGATTGCTTTCTAGATCTGTCTTGCTCTTTCTTACATACAGCTGTCTCCCTTGTTTGACTGAGAGGACCCTGAGGGCGGAGACCACACCTCCCTCTTCTGGTTCTTCTCTGCTGCCTGCTCTAGGCTTTGCCCACAAGGGTTATTCAAAAAATTGACTTTCCAAGAGGCACTATCTGTATGCAGCTTTTGTTAAGTGTTCCTTTGAGGTGGGCTCAGGGCTGGTGAAGGACAGAATTCTAGTGCTTAGGGCTTTCAGGCTTTATTTCTCTTGTTACTTGGGTCAAGCTTCTTAGCTGTATTGGGAAAGATTAGGCTTAGATATGTTTTCTGAGGGGTTGAGTCAGGGATATGGACATTCAGATACTAGATACCTGGGTCCCTGAAATCCTGGGGGAACTGCCTCAGGAGCTAGAAGTAGTATCTTTTTGGTACCTTATTTTAGCTTGGGTGAAATCAGGATGTGGAAATAGCCAGTGGAGGTGTTCCTGCCTTCCTATGCTTCTCTCCCTGGGCAGGGGCCTTTGCAAACAGCTACCAGTGGCTTAGGTTTCTGTTTTGCTTCTAGTGTGCAGGCACGGGGGATACTGAATCTGGGGAGGCCTGCCCCACCACTCCTGGCACCAGAAGAAGAAGCCAAGAACAGAAAGCGACCATGGCCCACCAACGGGCCAAACCTGGGTCCTCCCTTCCCACGGGGGCTAAGTGTCCCAGATCTGCCAGCTGCCCCTTTCTTGCCAAGTGGTGGCAACAGCAGCCTGGACATTCGAGCTGGGGGCCTCCAGGACACTCCCCGATTTCCAAGGACACAGGAACCCCTGCGGGCTGCCCGCCCCACTCCTACCCGCCTGTGCCACCCCACACCTGTTCTAAGCCGGTTGAACACAGAGCCAGTAGAGCCCCTAGCCTCAGAAGGAGCCTGCCCTTGGGCTGCAGGAGGGGGCAAAGTAACGGGGTTATATGCCGAACTAGTGAAAGAGCTGGAGTTACAGATGGCAGAGCTTCGGAGACTGCTAGTCTCCAGGGAAGAAGCAGCCCTACGGCAAGAGAGAAGGATCCGGGAGTTGGAACTGGAGAATCAGCAGCTTAAGGGTCAACTGCGGAGTCTAGAAGAACAGAATGATCTGCTGTCTAGCACCCGAGGTGGTGCAGGGCTCAAAGCATCCTCTCCCAACACCAGCCTCAGCTCTGGGACCGGTAGCCTTGGTAACGGGAGCTGTCCTCTTCTCTGGGATATGGACAGGAGGTGGATGGATGGGGATCCTTTGGGTTGGGCTGTCTGCTTCCCTCAGGCTCCCTCAGGGGTTGGGAGGGCAGGGTGTGTTCTGGCCCTTCCTCAATTGCCTTTGGAGATGACTTGTGATCTCCAGCCAGCTTTGCCTTTGATTGTATTTCAATCATTTCTCCTCTCTTTCTACTCAGGAGCTCTTTGGGCAGCAAACTTTTCTGTAGACCCATTTTTGTCCTACCAGTTCTGTATTTTCCTCTCACCCCAGGGTTTTGTTTCCTTTTGCTCAGGCTCTTGTTCATCACTCCACTTCCCCAGATTCAGTCTCTGTCCGTCCTTCCCAAGGAGCCTTTCATGCAAGAGTTGCCACTTTTTCCTATCCTCCTTCCCTACTCCATCATATATGATCCCTTTGTCATCCTGGCCTCAGGGGTCCTCTGTCCTGATGAACAGTCATTCCTTCTCTTCCCTAGAACCCACCATATCTCAGCAGTGAGCTCCCAGAGTGGGTCCAGGACCGATGACAAAAGGAACATCAGAAAGAGGGGATTAGACAAGGGGGAAGGATTTTATGGGTACTCATGCAGGGGAGTGGGGAGATTGTCCAGAGTCTAATAGGTCCTCATAGCCCCATCAAGATCCACCTGTAGCCTTCTGGAAACATGTCTGTCTACATTTAGCCATCCCCATGGGTATGGGCTCTCTCTCCTCAGATGTCAACGAAGGCAATATCCAGTTCCTCAAGGGCCTGGTGGGGCTACTGGAGAGCAACATGGCACTACAGGTGGGTCCCTGATGAGCTAGTAGCTCCTGGGGACCAAGGAAGAGGGACATGAATAGAGACTGGGCAGTGGGTGGGTGCTAAGATAGACTTCTGACAAAAACAGTTATCCAGATGCCTAGAATTCCCAAAGGCCACACCCAAATGAATAACATAATAAGAGCTAAATGTTAATATGCATTTCATTTCTGCGTGCTCATTGAATGTAGACTGTTGTCCATTCTGGTTTTTGAGTTGATGGAGATGGTATTATTCTTTAGGGGGACATAGCTCACACTTTCCCCAGAAGCCCTTGCTGACTTCAGATGCCCACATATGGAGGATATGGGGCATGGGCAGGGAGCAGAATCCAACCCTTTGGGAATGATTCAGCAACTCTTATGTTGGAAGCAAAGGGACCAGCTAGAATTAGCTTTGGGTGGGATACCCTCAGGGAAGTCAAGGGCATATTCCCAGGAGGGTAACCTGCCTGGTTTGTCCTTTTTTTTTTTCCTTTTTTTTTTGTTTTGGCGAGGCAGTCGGGGTTAAGTGACTTGCCCAGGGTCACACAGCTAATGAGTATCATGTGTCTTAGGCCAAATTTGAACTCAGGTCCTCCTGACTCCAGGGCTCTATCCACTGTACCACCTAGCTGCCTCCTGGTTTGTCCTTTAACAGGGGAGAGGGTCACCAGTGGCCTGGCACTAGTAGGAACGTTTCCAGCATCTCTGGGGGGAGGCTGCCAACCTTCACTGTAAGGAAAGCTGAGATGCTGCTGTTGCCCTTGCTTAGAGTTGCTCTCTTTTCCTTTTCCAGGTGAATGGCCTTCCTGCACCGCTTCCCACGTCACCACCTGTGGAACCCAAGGGAACTCCTGCTGAGGCCCCACGGTCCCCACCAGTTCGTAGGCTTCGAGCAGGACTCCCCAGTGGCTTTCCAGCCTGGTTGAACTCTGAGGATGGGGTGGGCAGTCCTGCTACACTGAGCGAGGCCACCTGTCTATGGGAGGAGAATGTTCAGGATACACTACCTGATGGAACCCCAGTATGGGCATCACCAGTGGAGGTGGGTGCTGCATATAACTCAGTGGGAGGGTTAGGTAAGTCTAGATTCCCTAATAATCGTGCAGCCTTCATGAATAGGTTGAGAGTGAGAGTAGTCAATGTCAACTAGTGCCCGTGGACTAGGTTCAGGATTAGGAGACTGTCCTTCCAAACCTGCCTCCAAGACATCTGAAAGGATAAGGAGGAGGGAATTTGGGGTGCAGTTTATAATTAAAGAAGTTATATCTGCTGCTCTGGTTCCCCAGGACTGAGAAAAGAACCCTGAGCCCTTGAAGAAGTTAATCATTCAGCATCTAGGACCAGACACCTTGGGGGTGCTGGTCCTGAAAAGATGCCAGCGAGACCATCAAGCTGGACAGGCAGGCTGATAAGGAAGCAAGCTAATGGCCAGTGCCTTTTCTCCTTCTACAGGAAAACGGGAGACCCAAACTGGAGCTGATCCCCAACTCGGGGGTCTACATTACTCACCACCAGCTAGATGACCTGTCTCAGGTGTCAACGGACAAGCCCAAGCTGATGACCAGGCGTATGCTGGATTACTTCTTCTCTCGGGAGACGCTGGCCCGCTCCTCTGCCACTGGTCAACGTATTGCCCATAATAACACCACCATGGAGAAGCCCATCCGGTTGCCTGTTGCTGTGGTCAACGCCATCAAAGGTACCCCAGGGGCAGATTCCCCCAAGGGCAGTGTTTTGTGACTGGGGCAAGAGGAGGGATGGAGTATTATGTACTGTTGGCTTCTCTGGCAGGGGGGCCATGCAGTAGTGGCCTGAAGTCCTAGGTTCTTAGTCAGTTTGCTTTGGGGAGGTTATTTTCTTGAGCCCTTTTTTTTGTTTTTTTGAAATGGTGACTCTTAGCATCTGTCCTTTGGCAGTAGGTGCAATTCTACTTTTGGAGTTGTTCTTGTTAAAACTGGAGAAGAGAAAGCTGAGGGACATTGTGGGTAGAGTTCTAGTTCAGTGATGAGTTGTTAAAAGGGTGGCATTGACTACATTGAGGGATGCACCAGCTGCAATGAGGTGGGCAGCAGGAAGGATTGAGGTGAAAGCTGAGGAATAGCTGATGGGAATATCTGGAATGACTGAAAGATGTAAATCCTTTGAGGATAGGAACCTGGTGATCCATATAGGATTATAAGGAAGGGGATGGGACCCTGTAGGGTTGAAGGGTTGCAAAGCATTCTTCAGTCTGTCCATTCATTCAGTCTGTCCAACATCCCTCTCTTCCCCTGTCCCCCTACCCCAATTCTCTTCTCCATCTGTGGTTCTAGTAGTGATGGAGAGAACTGGCCAGGGAGAGACACAGTTCTCCATTTCCATGCCAGCTCTCCCTCATCCTCAGCCTCCTTATAGTTCTAGCTTTTGGCGTGGCCGGGGGGCTCAAAGCATTTTGGTTTGATATGGGCAGTGACAAGAGTCTGGGAGACCGAATGCCATCTTTGCCTTGCAAACTCAGATCAGAACTGTACTGCTTGGGAGTGCACGCTTGCCCATCCCTCATTCCTGGCTTGGAGCCAGATCTGAGCAGCCCCCTTTCTGTCTTCCCCAGAATATGTCACCAAGGTGTGTGGCCGTGGCTGTAACTTTAATGCCGTCATCAACAGCAAGTGTGGGACCTCAAGGAGGGCAGTCAAGAAGATGATTGTTAAGATGGAGTGAGTGGGGTGAGGGGGAGTGGGTGGGCCAGGTCCTGCAATCTGCTGGCAGATACATACATATATATATTTTAAAAGCACCCCCCAAGCAAACACTGTACCATCAGGATCTGTCTTCAGGAGAGTGGCGGGAACGGATAATCATATTCTTGTTCTACTGAGGGCTATGGGATTGAATCCTAGTATCTAGGGTCTCATGTGAGCTCTGGGGTCCTGGGTCAGCTGGACAGAGAAGAAGCAAGGGAATGATTTCCTGGTCCCATTCCTTTTGGCACTGACGGCTTTGGGAAGGGCAACCAGAGGTGAGGACTGGGAGGCCACAGACTGTACTGTCCCCCCTTGAGGCCAGGGCTCTGGCTGTTTCCCAACTGCATACTCGTATATCCATGTATACTCTGTAAGCCAGGTAGAAAGCAGTGTCAAGCTGGGGTAGTGAAGGGTCCGCTCCATGCAGGTGTTGTGCTGGTCTCTCCTGCCAGAGGAGGGCTCCGACTGCAGAGCAGGCGGGGACTTCTGCAGTCATCTCGGAGGTCAGAATTCACGACCAAAACACTTCCTAGACTTTCTTGTACATAAGCCAGAACATTTCAAATAAAGGTTGGATTAAACCAAGCTTACTGATGCTGCTGATTGCCATCACATCTTTCCATTCTTTCTAGATCGTGGAATTTTAGAGCTAGAAAGGACTTTAGAAATCTAGTCCAAGCCCCTTATTTTGTAGATTGAGAAACTGAGGGCTATGCTAAATGAACGGTGAAGATATGGTGAAGATGCAAACTAGTGTGGCCTCTTGGCCATGACTGCTCTGTGTAGCTCAGGGTCTGTACCCTTTCAGAACACAGATGGAGGACATGCAGGGCTACTGTTAATCTTTGCCCCTTGATAAGAGTGCTTGTCTTAGGGGGAATGAAGAGGAAGATACTTGGTCATTGTCCACATTTAGAGCTTTGAAACATTCCCTAGAAACAGTTGCCAGGAAAGGGAAAGTCTTGCTACCTGGGAGAAAAACATGGGAGCAGGGGCCTTCTGCGAAGGCAGAGAAGAGGCTAATTTGTTATTTAATGCTAGAGTTTGGTAGTGTTTAAAACAAAATATTGTTTGCCAGCATAGCCTATTTGGGCTGGGGAAATGGCGTTCAGACTTTGTTATTTCATCAGTGTAGAGAGTTCCCAGTGAGGAAACTCTCTTTTTTAATACAGATGGGCCACTGTTTTGTAATCATCTTGAACTGCCAGTGGAAAAATCAGGTAGACACAACCTATGACTCTGTCATGTTTTCTATTATTTGGGCAACATCCTGTTCTTAACACCTGCGCTCCAGGTGACTGTAGTGTGGATTTCACTGCCATTGTAAAGCAGGCATTGAGACGAGGAACATGGAACCTGCCTTAGCCGGGGTCAGACCTCACGGCCAGTGCACTTGGAGCCTCTGCTTTCTGCCATCCAGAATGTTGTAGGTCGGGGCGCTGGCTCTAGCTCATGAGGACGTGGCCTTACGATAGGTGTTGGGGGCCACCTAGCTTTGTGCCCTAATGTTTAGAAAGCACTTTCCTTACAATAAGTCCTACAAGACATGTAGTGACAAGTGTTATCTTTATTTTACTGATAAGGACTCTGAGAGATAAGTGACTTGTCTATGGCTAGTGGGGTTGAGGCTGGGATTCAAGCCCAAGTCTGCTGACTCCTAAGTTTGGCAACTATATGCCATTCAGCCTCCATGCTATTAGGTAGAAAGCTGTCTAGTAAAAACTGGTGAGGAAGGGAATAGAGCAAGAGTGCGGATGGTTCAGAATAACCTGTCCCCATCCTCAGGGTTCATGTCCTTCTTCCAGCAAATTAGAATTCCTTATCAACAAGAAAAACATGTTGTATCTTGACCCTGAATCTAGCTCCTTAAGCACCTCCCAGTTCCATGATAAGAGCTGAATTCATTGATAGGAGCCCTCCTGGCCTCTGCCCAATGTCCCTCCCTTTCCTCTCTGTACCTAGGGAAGGAAATGCAGAGAGGCTTGCTCCTCATTTTCATAATCCTCCACACTATCACACAAGTACCCTTTAGAAATAAACCACCCCAGAGGAGACCTGTGCTCCTCAGAGGCCTGCTCCTGCTCCTGCCAGCACTGTGGCTGATGGGAGTGCTTGTGGAGAGTCTCATTCTCTGGTATCAATTTCTCCTCCGGGAAAACTGGCCCCAAGAGGAAAAACTGAGGGCATATACCCAAATGGGTCCCCCATGGGATTATGCCATTACTGGACAGGCATGAGTGGGAACACCCAACTTTCTGCAAGTTCAGCTGGCAATCCCTGCTAAGGGCAGGAAGGATAAGGGACCGCTGGGCCCTACTTTCTCCGAGGTCCTTCTCTAAGCTCCACATGCTCACGCCTCCATCCCCACCTTGCTTCCTCCCCATGAAAATTCTCCAGGGTAAAAGACAAAGGAAGCCTCATTGCCAAGCTGCTGACTTTGCCTCAGGCAACTAAATTTATTAGCAAGAAAAAAATTCTTTGTCAGCTCTGTGCTGACCAACAAAGTACATTGTTAATAAAGAATAACAAATCTGTCACTTAATTCAAAAAACATACCTCAAGCAGTTACAACTAAAAATAAAGTGGATTTTTGTTTTAATTTAAAAGCCTCAAAAATAACAAGCAATATGTTTTTAAACATGTAGTAGACACAATATTGTCTATTATACAATATACACTATACACAAATGGGATCTGAGTGGGGGTGTGGGATGAGAAAAAAGTGGAAAAGGGAGAGGGACAATATGTTTGTGTGTGTGTGTGTGTGTGTGTGTGTGTGTGTGTGTGTGTGAGAGGGTTCTTTAAAAAAAAAATCAAATTCCAGATTCAAACTGAAACTTTATGTTATTTAGAAGTGAAAAGTCTATGGAGAGGAAAAAAAAAGTTTTTCTGTTCATCATTGTCCAAAAAAACAAAACCCTAACCCCAAACTGAAAAAGAGGAATGGGGAAAGGGGGAAGATAAGGAAAGGAAAAGGAAGCAATTAAATAAAATTATTTAAAAGCGCACACAATACACAGTGTTCATTATCTGAAGTAGAGTATAAGGCAACGTTCTTCATAGAAAAACAGGGAAGATCAGAAGCAGTCTGTGGTTATATATACTTTTAAAATATAAAGTTGGAATGTGCTGGAAGAAAGTGTTTTGTTTGGGGGGGGGAAGGGGAGGCAGGTGTCCTTCCCACTTTCTCTGTGGGTGGCCCTTGGATGGGGGCTCTGGGACCCAAGTGTTGGCTATGTTGCTGCCATGCTGCCCTCAGGTGGGAGTAGGGTATGACAGGCCACAGGAGAGGGGACAGCACAGAGGATGCATCTGCTTTCTGGCTCCCCTGCTCTGGGCCACATCAATGCTATGGGAGGGGGAAAGAGAAAGGAAGGGGACTCACTTGGCTCCTCGACGGAGTGAAATTCATGTTTTTCCTTTGGAAATAAAGGTTCCCACTCGTCCTGGTTTAGAACGTGTCATTGTACATGGCCAATGTCCGGGATCTGGGCCAGGAGCTTATGGGGGAAGAGGGGCTGTTGTGGCAGCCAAATGGCTTAGGGAAGGAGGAAACATATGGTTATTGAAGCCCCTCTCTGCAGGGCCACAGTCAGGGAATAAGGGGGCAAGAAGTCAGCCATGGTGCCTCTGACTCTGGGGGCCCCAGGCTGAACTGGAGTTGAATCTGCAGGGCCTTCAACCACTGTAGGCTTTACAAATTCTTTGTGACCAGATGGGTCTTGTAATGCTTGGTTAGGTGGTCGCTCCTCATGAAGCGCTTCTGACACTGGGCACACTCGAAACGCTTGTCACCTGTGGAGAGGAGAGGCCTGTCATCCCTGCAGCCTATGTTCCAGACTCATCCCCCAAAGGCAGGAAGGAAGAGGGTTGAAGGGGTACAAACACCCAAATGAAGATGTCACTACTTTAAGCAGGTCCAAACTCAGGCCACATGTTAAACTAGCTTCAGAAACTGCATTTCCCTACTGCCTATCATAGCAAATCCAGACACCGAGGCCACTTCAATTCACCTCCTTTCTTATTAGTCCTCAACACAATTTTTTTGTGTCACTACATTCATCTGTTCCCTAATTGCTCATGTATGTTAGTTCATTTCTGTCTCCATGCTTTTGTATTATTGTCTACATCTGGGATGATGCCCTATTAACTGCTTCCTACCAGCCTACATCCCCTCCTTCCAAACAGAAGGAAAATGTTTCATGTTTGATTCCACCCCTTTCCAATCTCGTCAGCACTTAGATACTCAGCTATACTCCAATTCTAGCCATGGTGTTTTGCAGGTGGCTCTTTTAAGTTGTTTCATGAATGTGCATTTTTGTCTCTCCAACAATGACGGTGCCCACCCCTCCCCAATGGCCAGGACACTCTGTTTGCCCAAAAGATAACCAACTCCTTAGGGACTGGGCAGAAGAACTATACCATCCATTTTTTATGGTAGTTAGCACAGTGCTCTGCACAGAGGGATGAATTACAGAGTTTCTGCTGAAAATTCCAGCCCTGCTCAGGAAGTGAATCATAGGATCATAGATTAGAGTTGGAAGGGACCTTAGAGGTCATCAAATCCAACCCCTTCATTTTATAGATGAAGAAACTGAGGCCCAGGGGAAGGTAGGTGACTTGTCCAAGGTCACAAAGGCAGAGATCAGAGGTGGGACTAGACCCTGGATCCTGGACCCTTTCCACTGTCCTACCCTTCCTCCCAAGATTTTGGCTCTCATTTGATGTTGTCCTCACATACTAAGAACTGGGGTCGTATGGAAATGGTGGGCACTGGCTAGGCAGGGGTCTGACCTGTGTGGGTCCGGGCATGCCGCTGGAGTTCATCACTGCGCGTAAACCTCTTGCCGCAGTACACCCAGTTACAGACGAAGGGCCGCTCTCCAGTATGCAGGCGTACGTGGGCACGCAGCAGTGATGTCTTTCGGAAGGTCTTTCCACAGTCAGGGATATGGCACACATGCTTCTTTTTACCCTGCTCTCCAGACCTAGAGATGGATTTGGAGGGAGGCAGTAGAAAAAACGAAGGGAAGTTGAGAGAACAATAGGATGGGTTAGGAGAAACATGGAATGGGTAGAAGAAGATAAGACAGGAAAAATGGCAGGAAGAGGACAGAATGAGGGCAGAGATAAGGCAGAGGGCCCACACAGGGCAGAATGGAATAAGATAGAGAAAATGTAGTATAGGAGTCCGTGTTACCTACAACAAAGGCCAATGGGCCTACAGCCTTCCTGGACATAGAAGGTGAGGGGCTGGGGCCGAAGGGCCCAGGCTCGTGCCAGATCCTCTTATCTCAGAATTACCTTTTCTCCCCATCCTTGCAGTTGGGGCAAGTACAAGCCATCCGCCGCCGCTTCTCCCCTGGCTGCACCTCTCCTGCCAGTGCCTGTTCCATCTGCAGCTGAATCTGCGTAGGGCTTAGACCACTGATAGTTAGGTTGTTCCCAGAAACATTCTGAACAGTGAGCTGCTGCTGCCCTGAGAAAGGGAAGGGAAAAAAATTCAGGGTGAAGGAAATGGGAGGTGAGTACAGAGGCCTGGCTCAGAGAATGGTCCCCTCCCACAGGTGGAACCACTTCACTTGACTCCCCTC